GTTGACGTGCATCCTTACAAATCAAATAACTATAATGGCCTTAGTATATTGCGACCATTCGACGCGCCCGTCAAAAGCTGAGACATGGCTGCCTTGAACTTCAAATCACGTGCATCACCTATGTATACAACTTATTTTAATTCAATCCGTTTCCCCACATTCCACGCATCTAAACTACTTAGCGCTACACCCAGTCGTACACACACCGCTTCCACGGCGTTCTCATGATCTACTTTGGCCTGGACAAAGGCGGCTGACAATCCAGACATGTTATCTGCATCAGCTCGGTCCTTATGAAAAGATAAATACTTGCCCAGATCCTCGACAACGGTGTCATTGAGCAGTAAGACATTATCCACAGTGTTGCCCATGCTGCTTACGATTGAGCCCTATTCGTATTGGGTCTTCTGCAATATCACTGTGATGTATCATGAATGATTAGTGTGTTTAATTCAGCATAGTCTTGGAATGACTGATGAACTATCGCCTCATGCTCCGGTTAACATCCGTTCTTCTCAACGCACATGCATTGATTGATTATACTATAATCGGTCTACACTATCTCCACAGATAACATTCATAAGTGAATTATACTTGCTATATACAATGTATGTACTTAGCAATATGTGTAAAACAGCTGGAGTCTGGAGGCAGCTTGTACGAAAATACAGTCATAGGGTTTAGGGTATATACTGTATAGGATTCTGTGTTCTATTTTCAGGGGGCAATGAGCTATGGATTCTGGGACTATGAAAACCTTTAATTTTCAAAATAAATGCATACTACATAGAAAAGGCAAAGGATTGGGGGGAGGAATAAAACCATAAAATGTATTGAAACCTATTCGCTGAACTGATTGCGTGCGAGATATGTGGCCGATTGTATTGGGGCCTGGTCTACTTACTCGACCAATAACATTTTTCTATCAATGAAATGATAGTTTACTAATTTTCCGACAAATAAAATTACGTAGTTATCTTCTACTGAACCGTAACCAGTGACCACCAGCAGAACTCCTCTCTCACTGTGACTATAAAGTATAAATAGAGGAACGGACACTCGGAAAGTAGGCATATTTTTCAAATAATAAAAATAAATACACTTACATAATAGAACTTCAGATGAAAATATAAACGGACAAAAGTACTTTCTTCGGCTCTCACTCGCACACGTCAATGTAGACCTATGAAGTACAACTACTGGTTATGCCTAAACATTGAGATTAGTTGATTGGTCTTTGGCCATTGTCCCCTTCACGATGCTTCCCACCAAGTTTATACTACTGATTGCCATCGTACTACTTCTGAGCTTCACAATTACACCCCACTGGAGTGTCTCCGCAGGTATGCACAAACGGCTCGTGCTTCAATATATGATATATTG